ACATTATTTCATGGACTCCATTTTTCTGCCAACTCCTCCTCTGTGCTTTGTGCTAACTTTGATGCTGATTGGGCCGGTGATCCTTCTGATCGTAGGTCTACCACTGGTTACTGTTTTTTCCTTGGTAATTCTCTTATCTCTTAGCGGAGTAAGAAACAAGCTATTCCATATCACTCTAATATTGAAGCTGAGTATAAAGCTCTCGGGGATACCACATCAGAACTTCTTTCATTGCGGTGGCTTCTTGAAGATATAGGCATTCCTCAACCTTCTTCTACTGATTTATATTGTGATAATCAAAGTGCTATGCAGATTGCTCATAATGATGTCTTTCATGAACGCACTAAATACATTGAGGTTGATTGTCACTTTATTCGCCATCATGTTGCACAAGGAACTGTTCATTTGGTTTTCATTGGCTCTACTGATCAACCAGCAGATCTCTTTACCAAGGCTCATTTTCTTGGACGCTTTTGTACTCTTCTTTCCAAACTCAAGTTGGTTTCATCACAACCACCTTGAGTTTGAGGGGAGATGTTAAGATGTGAACACAATTATATTTAGAATTATTGTAAATATTTTATACTTTAGAATATTCTCTTTGTATACTTTATACCTTAGAATATTCTCTTTGTAAACACCTATATATAGGTCATTGTACATACAATATAATTCAAGAAAGCAACAAACCTTTCTTCAAATTATTCTTCTTTTCGGTTTTCTAACAATGGTTAAGGTTTGAATCACATTCTCTCTCCTTACTCCTCTCCCCCAATAAAGTTTTTAACCAATTGACATATATCACATAAAAAAGATGTAGTACCTTTAATTAACTTAAATAATATTTGTTTTCCTCTCACTTTTTTATTTTTTTTTTTTAAGACTAAGATTTGATTATTTGTATGTGAAAAATAAGCACTTCTATTTTTACAAAATAGCTACACTTCTTTACCAAGTCCACTAGTGTATGATTTGTTTTTTACTTAACCAAATATGTATATTTAGACCAATGCACATAGAAAAAGCATTGATAAAAGATACATTTTTTTTATAATTTTACTTATCATTTAATAATGGACTCTTTTCATTCAATGAGATTCATAATATTATATGTATTTACTCATTAAATAACATGTGAAAATTATATAAAAAATTATACCAAAGAATTGTCACTGTGTATCATTACCTATGATTTAATGCTTGGTCCTCAGCTTGTTGGATTGTTTATATTTTAGTTCCTGAAATTTTCTCGATCCTTAAACTTATTTTTTAAACCCAAAGTTATCTTTCCATTGCACAATTTTTCATCCGAAAATAGGTCATTTTTACGTAGAAAATTACATGAAAAAAACAAAGAGGACAATTAAATGTGGTGGAAAAATTTCGGATCCG